GTGATCTCACTTTGTTTTTGAACCATCCCCAAGAAGGCCAGGGTGAAACTGAAACATAAAGAGATACACCATGGCAAGTGTCACTCGGCTTCCCAGTGCTCTCTGGTTTTGACCTCTCCAACTGTTCTGATGGATCTGATCCCTTCAGTTCCAGCACTGGTTTCAACATCAATTCCAATTTCAGTTCCGAATGTCCTGCTTCTGAGAACCCCATCACCATAACTGAAGTTGCTGACCCTATCATGCTCAGAGGGTGAGATGGAGCCTAATTCTGAGTTGATTCCGCAAACCCAGACAGATCTGATTCCAGATTATTAGACTGGCCATGACACTGGAGATTCAAGTTACCACTTCAGTTCCTCGACCTAAAGATAAAATATTGGGTAGACTTTACTCTGACTCTCCAGGGGTGATTGCCTTTATTGAAACAGCAGATCAATGCTGGGAGACATGCGGTAGATTCCTCTGCCCGAGCTATGGCTTCAGCCATGGTGCTCCGCAGACATGCTTGGCTTTGATCCACTGCCCTGCCAGTTAAAACCAATCAAAAGATAGAAGACCCACCTTTTGCAGGAGCTATGCTTTTTTTCTGCCAAGGCAGATGATGTTGTCTTGCAGATCAAGAAAAACAAACAGCCTGTTCCTTTGGCATCTCTACACCTCCATCACAATCTTGTCAGAGATCTTTGCAAAGCCTCAGTACCATCCGTACAGCTGCTGTCAGCCCTTGCAGTCATACCACTGTATGAAGTATCCTCAACAGAGGGTTTTCTAGTCACCCCAACAGCAGGCCAGGTGTAGACCCCACCACAGATCCAGATCTCAGGGGCAGTAGTTACAGCAACAGTCCTCCAAGGATGCCTCACTAGGCCAAAGGGCTCCCTTCTGACTAGAGGACCGGCTGTTGAAAACTCAATCTTTCTTTTAAAATAGGTTGGCTAATTTCTACCTCATTGGGCAACACTTGACATCCAATTCTTGGGTGCTAGCTACTGTTCATTTAGGTTATTGTTTAGAGTTTGTAGAGTCCCCCCCCCCCGCATAAGGGCCATGGTGGAGTACATATCCAAGAAACACTACCAATCAGCTCTCTTTTTTCAGAAGTTATGAGGTACGGCCTCCACGGTGATGGCCATCCCTTAGGCATGCCTCAGAATGAGGCCTCTTCAGAATTGGTTTGTTAGAAGGCTTAATACCACTAGGCACACTCAGTGGCAGAGGTTCTCTTTACCACATTTGCAGTGGTGGATGGCTGAGGGTAATCTTTCCACAGGATCAACAACAACCTCATGTGACTGTTACCCCTGATACTTCACTTAAAGGGTTGGGGTGCCCCCCTTTTCAGTACAGGGCAGGTGGCTTCCCTCCAAGAGGACCTTACATATTAATCTGTTAGAGCTGTGTGCTATACAATATGCCCTTAACTCCTTTTCAGCTTTTGTCAGACACAGAGTTGACCAGATCCAGACAGACAGCACCACACCTATGTCTTATATCAATCATCAAGAGGACACGGTGACCCTCTCATTTTGCCAAGAAGGAATCAGCATTTGGGACCCTGGGGGCTTCACTGCAGGTCATCCACATTGTGGGGGCTGAGAATACCAAGGCTGATGCCCTCAGCAGGATGATAAATTCAGACCACGAGTGGTCCATTTCCTCAGACCATCTTCTGCCAATTTTTGCTCACTGGGGAACACCAGAGGTATACTTGTTTGCCACAAGAAGCAATGCCAGAACTAGGAGTTTTTGCTCCAGGTCAGGGAGTGACCCTTGCTCAACAGGGAATGCATTCCAGATCAGATGGCAGGGTTCTCTATTTTACACCTTTTCCCCATTCCCTTTAATTTCCAGGGTACTGGCCAAGCAGAGCATACATGGTGCATATTAGTCACCCTGTTTTGGCCAAGGCAGACGTGGTTCCAAATGCTGAAGTTAGCTTCCCAAGGGAGATTTCTACACTTCCCTGCAACCCCAGACGTGTTATATTATGTCCCCACTCTCCACTACATGCAGAATTTATGCCTAATGGTGTGGCTGCTAAACCCCCAAGACTAGGGTTTTCAGAGCAAGTTGCAGAGGTTGTTCTTAAAGCTAGGAAGCCTTCTACTAGAGCTTCGTATGCCAGCAAATGAAAGTGTTTCTCTATTTTGATGGTTTCTAAGGGTTAGCTGCTGATTCTGCCTTCCGCCTTTAGTTTAGTGGCCCCTTAAGGCATCTGGTCTTTCTGTCTCTTCCGTTAAGGTACATTTGGCAGCCATATCTGCCTCACATGTGCTGGTGGATTGGAAAACCCAGTTTTCTCACAGGCCTTCCCGGTTATTCCTCAAGGGCCTAGTTAATATGTTTCCTTCTTCACTGTACATAGTTTCCCAGTTGTTGTTGTCCTTAGTTCTAGCCCAGCTAATTACAGCTCCATTTGAGCTAATGGCTACCTCTTCGCTTGAAGCGTTATCAGTAAAAGTCCTCTTTCTGGTGGCTATTAATGTCAGGAGGGTGGGGGAGGCGGCGGCCCTTAGGGCGGACCCCCATTTATAAAGTTCTACTTCAAAAGGGTGGTTGTAAGACCAAGTTTGAGTTTTTTGCCTTAAGTCGTGTCCCTGTTTAACTTGTCACAGGATATCATGGCATGCCATGCCCATTGTTGGTCCGGGTTCATTCGACCAGGGCTCAGGCTGCGTTAGCTGCATTCTTTTGTGGCATGTTACTGATGGAGATCTGTAAAGCTGCAATGGTGTCATCCTTGAAGATCTTTGTGCAGCACTATGCAGTTGATGCCAACACTAGAAAGGACGCTTTGATGGGAAACATTCATCTTGCACTCTATCTTCTAATAGGAGAACATCACACCCACCTCCAAGTAAATAGTTTTTCAGTCTCCCAATGTGGGACTACACAGAAGACCAAAGATGAAAACAGTGTTGCACTTACATGTAACTGTTATTCATCAACTTGTCTTCTGTGCAGGCACACATTTCCTTCCTCTTTCCCCGCTGTGAGCTCTTTCTCTCTAGTTAACCTGCTCTCAGCGGCTGGAGAACTGAAGGAGACAAGGGGACCCCCTCCCAGGACCATGTGACCATTTGGGCAGGAAAATGTGCCTTTGGCTCTGGGGAGGGGCTCCCTCCTTCAGCTTTAGATAAGGAAAGAGGTAAACACTCTGAAGGAATCCTCTGGTGGTTGGCATGTGCAAGCACAGTCCCAATGTATGACTGCACAGAAAACAACTCAATGAACAACAGTTACAGGTAAGTGCAACACTGTTTTACTTAATAATGAAGAGTACAGATGAAAGCAAGTTCCACTCAGAAGAGTAAACATTCTACTTGTGGTGGACCACTCCCAACTGCTATTGCATTAGGAAAGTAGAATGATTCTGAACAGTGTACATAAACTGGTAAGGAGAGACAATCCTTACTTTGTTTTATATAAGTGAATGAATGAAGGGAAATGAAGGTTTTGAAAAGAAAAACTGCATTTAATACACATGCATTCTCTTGGTGCTTGGTAAGATACACCTGTATTTGTCTGCAGATATCTGAGCCTGAATACAAAATTTATTTACTTATTTAATGTAATTTTATATCTCAGCAACCTTCAAGCAGCACAAATGTGCAGTTAAGTAGACCCATAAAAGGAAGATTTTTTTTAGGCCTGAGGAAAAAATGAAACATTTTGAATTGGCACTGAAAACTCATCAGGTTGGGTGTAAAAAAGAAGGTGTCCCAAAGTTGAGGTGCTACAACAGAGAAGGGCTATCCTCAGTGGCAACTCAACTTACTTTTGAGGGCAGGGGAACACAGAGCAGGGTCCTCTGATGCTGATCTCAATTGTCAAGCCAGCTAATATGGGAGCAACCAGTCCGTGGGTACCCTGACCCCAGATTGTTTACGTGTTAAAGGTAAGAAAAAGCACTTTAAATTGGGTTTTGAAATGAAATGGCAGTCCTGAGATGTAAGTGCAGAAATAATGGTCTATAAGTCAGATTGGATGTGATTGATTTTATCTGCCAAATGACTTGCAAACGTGTCATGATGAGCAATCAAATCGTTTATGTAATTTATTTATTCAAATATTTATATCCTACCCATCAGCCATCTTGGTTGCCTAAAAAAATAGAAAACAGCAGAAACCATTGAAAACAGTAATCAAGATAAAGCTCAGTAGGAATTTAATGACAAACAGCATAGCCGATAAAAGTAGCAAGATCCATAAAAGTGACAGTTTAAAATCAAGAATCACAAAGCAGAGTGGTGAGGTGACACAGCTGAAAAGACCCAACTCCTATTCATGCTATGGCCGATTTCTGAAAGTGGCTGAGCTGGGCTTCAAAGATTGATCTCAGCACATGTATAGGAACATGTGGGAAAAGACAGGCTTTTAGATATTCTGATATGTCATTAACACCCCACAAAAACAATCCCACTTTGAATTGGGCCTGAAAATGAATAGGAGGTCAGTGAATTTTTTCTAAGCGTGGCATCTTATGATATGTATAGCTGGAATCAGTTTACTATGCAGTCATGGCATTCTACACCAATTGCAGTTTCTGAACCATATTCAAAGACATCACCATGTGGAGTGTTTTGCTTATAAGTAATCAGGGACTTGAAGAAGCAGCCTCCTCACACAGAAAAATTCCATGATATGGTGATCCACAGATACAGTAATGGTGGAGATTTGTGCCTTTGTCATCACCACCACCAAACAGGCACTTCAACTGTATTTGTTCCAAGTTTTTTCCCCACTTGTGCTCAATCTGTTAATTCTTTCCATCACCTTAAACTCATTAAATATCCTGTATAAGCTGTTATGGGTATAATATAATAGTCATTCTGTACTCATTGTTACAGAGATAATATACTATAATTTTGATCTTTATAGTAGTAATTAATTATAGAATTTCTTCTGGTATTGTAAGAATGTTAAAAAAATCTTATAAACTCTGCAAAATTAGGTCTTTTTACATAGATTGATTCACATTTTTTACCATTCCGCAGGATGTGAAGAACCGCCGAAACCCTCGCCTTGTCCCCTATGCACTTCTAGATGATCGCACTAAGAAATCAAACAAAGATAGTCTCCGAGAGGCAGTTCGTACACTCATTGGCTATGGTTATAACCTTGAGGCTCCTGATCAAGATCATGGTATTCAACTTTTGCTCTTCTTGTTTCCATAAGAAACTGAAACCATTGGCACAAATGTCTTCTATTATACATGTGGAATATGAATTGTTTATGAAATTATTAAAAATTCTGGCGCAGACTGGAAGTTGCTTGTCATATTGATACAACATAGTGGCTAATATTGTGAAAATCACACTTGAGAATCTGTATGTTATGATTCTCTGATAAGTCTGTTTTACTATCACACTAGATATTATTGAAATACGTACCTAGGGACCTTCAAAAATTGTTCTGGTGCTATTCTTGCTGGACTTTGGCAACCTTATGAAAGACCTGCACTTTTCCAAGAAGCCGAATTGCAGTATTGCAGATAACACTAGGGGTTTTTTTTTGGTAACATTTATCTACCTGACAATGTATTATAATTAGTCTTAGGTTACTGAATATATCCCTAATAAAATGTGTGTACTTTTTCACATTTATATTATGAGCATGATCCATTCAGTTTCATTACTAGTAAGTCCCATTTATTTCAATGGGAGAACATTAAACACATGCTTAACTTGGATAGCAAAAAATCCAATTTAATAGGCATGTTCAAAGTGCTTCACATTCACTATGCTAGAAGCCCTTACAATAGTCCTGTAAAGTACATCAGTAGTGTTGTTTCTGTACTATGGATGACAGATCAAGGCTGAAAGTGGTTTGCCTGAAACCACTTGGTGAGTCTGATCAGGTTCTTAGCTCCTCTTTATTGATTAATTTAGATTTGTGTGTCATGGTTCATTCAAAGATGACACGGTGTGGTCTGGCTGAAAGTTGGCTGCTACACAAGAATAATACTTACACTACTGGACATTATGTATTTACATTATTTTAATGATATATTGGTTTGCTTTTGTGTAACTTGGTTGTTTTATGTTGGAAACCATAACTGTTGACTTTCCCAATACAGTTCCACTTGAACATGCCGATCAGGCTGTAATAACTTGCTCACATAAATTCCAATTACATACTTCCTTGTGCTATGTGCTGTCCGTTTTTCTGGCAAAAATTATTGCGGCTTGTTTTCTTAATGTTCTGAAAACGGTTTGCCATTCAATTAGAACAGTTTTATTGGTCCTCTTAAAGGAAATCATCTTAACCAATAACTAGAATAATGGCTGCTTATGGCAAAAGAAATGCAAGAAAAAGCCTGCAAACTTTTAAAATTATATATAAATAGGAAACTTGAATGGTCTCAAATTATTTCGGCAAAGTATTATAATTGGCAATCAAGGACATCATCTACTCAGTTAAGCACTTATGGACTTTGGAGAAGCCCACACGTACTGAGCTTGCTTGACTACTCTACTGAAGTCCCTATCTGTTGCGGCTGGGATTTTCTGAGTCATTACTTTGCAATTTAGTCTTGTTACCCAGGAAGCAGATGTTACACATGTAGGCACTTCCACAGATGCTTTGGTTTTGGTATCTTTGTGTATGCACAGGTGAACCATGAAGTGAAGCTTCATAGTAGGGCACTGGGTGGGAAGGAGAAAAGAGAAGTGAGGGGCTGAAACCATGTGAGGGGGAGTGAGAGAGACAGACATGTCATGAGGGAAGAGAGTCAAATCATATGTTGCCTAATCCTGCAGCTTGAGTATTGTTCCAAATGTGGCAGAGGGCTGGGTTTTTGCGGGGAGTGGGGAATAAAACTGAACCTAGTTTGAGAGTCCAAAAGCTGGTCTTTTAACCTCTTGATTTTTGCACTTTCCTGCTCATAATGCTAGTAGAGGGATATAAACTATCTCGTTGGGAACAAGTTCTGTGGGCTATGCTAACTGTGAAAAGTATTCTTTTGGATACTGGCCAAATATAAAGGAATGCCTGTTAATATCGCACAAGTACTGGTCATCGTGTTGGTATGAAGTTAGAATGGTCTTGTGGAATCACAAGACTTAAAGCAAAGGGGTTACACAGTTTCCTAGTTACCTCATCAGTGTGGCTCCATTTTATTTGATTTTACTGTGCAAGAAGGCTCTGCTTTTTATGGTGATTCTCCATTACTATTGATGCAATTTTCACTTCCAAAAAAGGAAAATTGTTGATATTAATAGAACCCTGAAGAGGGCAGAGGTAATAAGCCATCAAATGCCTCACCATGACCACTTGCTAAAACTTTACAAGTAATTATTTATTTACTTTTACAATTTCTACATTTAAAAAAAATTGAAAATGAATCTTATGTCATTTTACTATATCATAATATATGAATTGATAATCTGAATAAAATAAAATAGGATATCAGCAAGACATCTAGCGATGATTTCAAAAGAGCTTAACCAGTGCTGTATTTCGGGACATAGATCTAAAACCAGTTGAAATACAATAGTTTGGACATGATATTGAAAACTATAGAACTGTTTTATGAAGAGAGTTTTGTGGGGCCATCACAGAAATGGCTCTGTAGTACTCTAATTTCTATAGTACTCTAACTAAATATGGAAATTGAACAGGCAGCTGATTTTAATAGACATCAGGGCACATAAGGTAGAAGAACTCCATAAAGTACGTTTTTGGTTGCACATATGGAAAAGCTGATATTTTCATGTCTTTGAGGGTCTCATGCTAGAGGTGAGGGGAACCTACTCTCTCTCTCTTTTTTTTTTGTCTGTTTTCATCTTTAACTAAAAATGTTGTTGGGAGTTCCAGGAAAACTCTCAGTATTTTTTTCTTTTTTTAAAAAATGGGGACTTATATATGAAACAGCCCTGGGTAGCCATTACTGGAACAAACATACAGGCACCTATATCAGTAATTGTATGTTTTCCCAACATGGCAAAGGACAGCTGCCAGAGTCTGTTTCAGGTTAGGAAAATGGTGCTGAGATGAAGGCACAGGCCAATCGGAGCACTGAAGGCCTGAGTTCGCAGAACTCTCGGCATCATGAGTAGCTGAACCTGCACTTTTGCACAGTGTAGTGGCTTTCCTCCAGTGCCTAGAGTAAAAGGAAAGTATATTACCATGTGCTGGCATTGGGAGACCATTAACACAGTAGAAAACAGTATCAAGCGGAAACACGCATACAACTTTGGCTGAAGTCTGTGGCTAAACCTCACTTTCGTGAAACCAGAATTGTTTCAAGTTGCTGTTAGGCAACTATCTTAGATCTGAGTGATTTTTTTCTCCCTTCAGTTGATGAATGTGGTAAAGTAGCACTTGTGTGATGGGGTATTGTTCTTTCAGATGTGGGATCAGAATTTACTTTGTTATCATGTATGAAAAGAAAATGACATGAAATCTTGAAATCATAGTTCAGTGAAGTATTAAGAAACCTCAGCTGCAGCATGAGGAATTTCTTGTTTTCTAACTAGAATGTAATTCTGGGGATTACTCTTATTCCGTTTATCAAAGTGTTATAAAAGGATTTAGAGCCCTCTAGTGGCTTTTAAAAAACTTGCTCACCGATTAATCTTTAAGGTGTGGGAGGACTTTTTCTTGTTTTTACTACAATAGACTAACATGACTGGGATTTCTCATTGGAGCAGTTATTTACTAACGAATGTATTATGCTGCTTCTTTATGAGGACCGTTCAGTCATTAACAGTAATAAAAGAATAAAATGAATGTGTTTCTGAACCAATGATGAATAAAAGTCTATATAAAACTTTTTAAAATGATCCCAGCACTGCACTGCCATTAGTAACTGGAGTAAACCTCAGGTATGTAAACCTGATGTTTGATGTTGTAAAAGAGTGTCTGGACCAAGACTATCTGGTAAGTTCCTGGCCAAGTGAAGTTTGAATAAAAGGCATTCTAGTAAAGAGCTCACATTCATCTTCATGGGGACTGTGCTTGTACAAACCTGCTGTGGAGATCAGTTTTAAAATTGTCTAGGTCTCTCTAGAAGATTGAGAGGGCTCCCTCTCCTCTGAGGTGAGCCAGAGATTCTTGCCCAAACCAGCGTATGATGGAGGTGGGGAGAACTCTCCTTACCTCAGTCCTATTTTTTGCTGTGGAGACAGGATGCTTCACTTTCTGCTGCTACTTACCTCAGATTTTGTCAGTAAAAATTCTTTTTTGTTGTTGCCATTCTCTTGAAGTCTAAATCTTTCTCCTCATGGCACTCTTTGATCTAAACTCTGTCTCTTCTTTGGTTCTGAAATCTAGTATTTTTTACTTTTCCCCCCTTTACCTTTTCCTTTTCCATTTCTCTCATCCTGCTGCCAATTCCATTGTTACCAAGGTCATCCCAGCTAATTAGCACTCGGGCCCCCGCCCCTCTCCATTTGATAGAGAAGGGTGGAAACTTGGTGGCCTAGGTCACAAGATTTACACATTGGGAGCCCTGACCTAGATAACCCTGGCAAGCCTGATCTCGTTAGATCTCGGAAGCTAAACAGGGCTGACCCTGACAAGTGCTTGGATGGGAGATCTCCAAGGAATACCAGTGCGGGACACAGAGAGGCAAGCAATAGCAAGCCACCTCTCTGAACATCCAAGCCCCACTAGGGGTTGCCAGAAGTCAACCATGACTTCCAGGCACACATGCACACACATGTACGTGCATACACACACAAGCAAAATACTACTAAAAAAAATTACACATTGAGTACTCTGACCCTGCATATGGCTAACTTCAATGTCATTATGGGATGCTATCAAATGTCATTATGGGGGGAAATGGCTACTTATATTGACACCTTGCTGGATAATGACCCTGGGCAAGGTTATACAAGCAGAGGGCCTAAAGCTCAGTAAGCAACAGCTACACTTTAAAAGACACAATGTGGATTCAGCTAGCAGATCCATGGTCTCTGCAATAGTGCTCCTCTGGCACTCCTGGCTAAGGTGTATGACAGTTTTTAATGACACCAAAGCATGAGTTGAGGATTTACCTTTCGATGGCAAGGACTTTCAGTGACATCTTGGACTGCATGCAGAAAATCTAGCCTTGTGTAAAAGTTATATACAAATTTATGTACACAAGAAGAGAGAAGATGCTGGTACACACTGACAAAGTCCAGATGAGGTAGCTGTCAAAAGCTGTCAGGTAGATCAGCTAGATCACCACCTGATGTCTTACTTGCAGCAACCACATGCTGACACTCCCTCTAAGATTCAGGTGGTGATGCCTAATTTCAGCTTTAGGGCCACAAACTTGTCCACCTCCAAACACTTTGTGAACATGTCTGCAATATTCTCACTTGAAGCACAGTACTGTAACACAAGCAGTCCCCGTTGCACAGTATCTCTAACATGTTGATATGCCTGCTTCTAGTTTTTACACCCTGTGTATCTGCCAACTGCTGAGCTGCAGTGTTATCACAGTACACACACATAGGTAAAGTACATGATATACTGAGATCAATGAGTAATTGGAGCAACCACTCCATTTGCACTACACAGTCATTTAGCGCTGCATATTCTGCTTCACATGTACTGGTTGATACGTACTATTGTTATAATGACTACCACAATACCAGAGCTCCATTTACAAATACAACATAGCCAGTTGTTGATTTGTCATCAGGTCTCCCTCCCCAACTAGAATCACAGTAAGCTGTAACCTGGTGTTCTCTAGTAGTATTTAACACCAATTTATCTGTTGCAGTGCCCTTTAAATATCTTAATACCTGTTTGGCAGTGGTCCAATCCTTCATGAAAGGACAAGCACATTTTTGGCACAATAAATGAACAGCAATACTTATGTCCAGTCTGGACCAACATGAAATGTACAGAAGAGAACTGATCAGTGATTGATACATATTCTTATTGTCAAACATTTCATTGTTAGGCTCCTTTAGATAACCTTTAGTCATGGGGGTGGTTACACTATGCGCATCCTGCATATTGTACTTCTCCAGTAGTTTGGTTATTTTATTTTCCTGACTCATCATAAAACAACTTTCTGCATTCCTTGTAATGTCTACTCCCAGGTAATGACCAATACTTCCTAGATGCTTAATTTTGAATAACCTTTGAGTAGTTTGGACAAACCATTCTAGTTGCATATCTTCATGGAACATGAAACATAAATCATCCACAAACACCATTAAGTAACATTTTGTGTCCCCAATAGTTCTATTAAACGTACATGGATCTGCTACTCCTTGTGTAAATCCAAGATCAGTTAGAGCCTTGCTCAGACATTGGTTCCATTGTCTCGCACTCTGTTTCAAACCATAAAGAGCTTTATTTATTTTCAACACAAGCCTTTTGTTTGCATTTTCAAACCCAGGAATCTGCTCCATATAGAGTTCTTCTTCAATTTTTGCATTTAAATATGCAGTAGTAAAGTCAAAGTGGTGCACCTGCATTTTTTCTTGCCCAGCTTTACATAATGCAGTTTTCAAAGTATCAGCTTTCACAGTGGGAGTGAAGTTTTCATCATAATCTTTTCCTTCTGCCTGTGAAAATCCTCTGGCAACAAGTCTAGCCTTTCTTTGCACTCCACCATCTGGTAATAACTTTAGTTTATACAACCATCTGCAACCAATTACATTTTTGTCAGTAGGTAGATTAGTTGGGGTAAATACATTATTTTCTGACAGAGAATTATGTTCCACTTGCATAGCATAGTCTAAGGCCATGAAGGGCTTTGTATGTGATAGCCAATATTTTACATTGAACCCAGTAACTGACGGGGCAGACAGTGGAGTGACTGCAGAATTCGAGTAAGATGCATGCTTGTGGTGTACCCTGTGATGTAGCCCTCCTCCTGACCTGGAGAAAGGGAAACTCACTAGAGGTGCTGTGAGCTCTCTCTTTATAAGATCCCAGATGCACATCAATTAACCACACTCTTTAGGAGCCCTCCTCCCAACCTGGATAAAGGGAAACTCACTAGAGGTGCCGTGGGCTCATTCTTTATCAGATCCTAAATGCACATCAATTAACCAAACTCTTTCAAAAGAAAGACAATTTATTCTCCAAAAGAATAAACATCAGTACTTACAAGAATCCAAAACAGAAAACTTACAAAAGAACCCAGCTACTTCAACTATATCACTTTGTCTTTAAAAGCAGGTACTTGTTCCAGAGAAAGTCTTAGACAGGAGGGAAGTAAAACTTTCAATTTTGCCAGCCACACATCATTTTCTCCCTCGGGTAGTCTGGTTCAGGTGTGGGTGAATCCTCTGTCATCTAGAGAGATTGAGATTTAAAAAACCCAGCCTTCTACCTACCAATTCTATCCATTGTCTCCCCACTAACGAGCTAACGATTTAATAAACATGACCTTTTCCAGCCAACATGCAAAGGCTTCATCCTTGACAAACATCACGTGTTAACAGTTTGTCAAATTAACCAGCACATAGGGGTGTTATCTTTCTCTTAACAGTAATAGACAGTGATAAAGGAAGATGCGATTGTAACTGAGCATCACAATGCTTCATATAGCTCCCAATAATAGCTAAGCTGCAGCATTTTGAATTTAACAATATATTCACACACACACCACACATGCTTGTTTGCTGAAGTGATCTCCTGTGCAAGTCCCAGAGGACCTTCAGGATCTTTACAACAAAAACAACAACAACAAAACCAATCTAAAATGCAACATCCAATTTTATAACCCTAACCCTAACCCTATATCCCCAGTCCCATTAAAATGATCATAGAGCAAACAGCAGATGAAACTAACCTTAATGTTAGTAGAAGTATATGTTATTGGGAGCTACATGGCCTTTGTAATGGTTGGTAAAGAGTAGGGCTGGAGGGAAATTGTGAATCTGTACCCTAAATTCTGGTTGGCTCCGAGAAGGTACTTCCAATTTACAGGCAAGTCCATAAATACCTTAGCCTAGAATACGTTGGTCTAGACTGGTCTAGACTCTGGTATCAAGGAGAGGCCTTGCCAGTCTGTGCTAAGATGCTCTTTCTGGGACCCATTCTCAGGAAGGGAAATGTAGAGGTTCTTTGTTATTATAGGATTAGCCAGTAGTTTACTTTTTGACTGTTTTCTTTATGTTTTGCCTTATTTCTACATATAGTAATTGATCCCAAGTATTTGTGCTTTCTAGGATTTGTGTTTATTATTTTATGTTAATTATTTTATTATTAAAGTTTTATTATACTCAGGATTGTTGGAGTAACTTCTAAAGACTTGTTGGACGATCCTACACAAAGCACTTAAAGACTGCTGGCTTACACTGACTGCATCAGTGCTGAAAGGAACAGCACTGGCAGAGACAGACAGGGGAAAGCAGAAGTCCATGCATCTCAATTTCTCTCACTCAAAACATATGCACACATGTAGATTTCAGGATTGCAGATGGGCCAGGTTAAAAAAAAAAAACTTTTGATGTTGGCTGAACCAACTGAGGAAGAATCCCAACTGGGTGTATGGGGGTTGAAAAGATTTAAAAAAACCACACAAAAAAACAGACCCCGTTGGTTTTTGGCCAACTTTCAGCACAGAGCTGAATCTTAAGAAGTGGGGGGCGAGCAGGGGGCAGCCAAAGGATGCTGAGAGCCAAAGCAGGTTTGTGAAAGTTTTCAGTTGCAAAACCCTAATCACAACTACATTTTTTGGAGAAAAACAAAAGCAGGAAGTATAGACTATGTGTGTTGATAATATAAGATACAGATGAATTGTTGGGCTATATTTTTGTGTTGTATCAGACTGGCATTGTTTCAGAGCTTATTACAAACTGTGTGACTGTATTGCACTTTCTACTGAGAAAAATAAAACATATATTTTAAACTTTGCAGCCACAAGACCAGATGTATTCTGTGGTATGATGGAAAAGTTCCGAATATTTCGCACAGAGAAGACGTATGCAGTAAAAACTGGGAAGTGGTACTTTGAGTTTGAAGCAGTGACTGCAGGAGACATGAGAGTAGGCTGGGCCAGGCCAGGTTGCCAACCAGACCAAGAGCTTGGGTCAGATGAACAAGCATTTGTCTTCGATGGATTCAAGGTACCTTTTCAGCAAGCAGGTGCCCTTTATTGTTGATAGGCGTTAGTGTCTTCATTAATAGCAGCAAATATGAAAATAAAGCTATGTAGTGAAGCTCATGATTGACTGCAGTTATAGTATTGCTATAATTACTGTCACCTGCCAGCTTATTTTTCAGGAATCATAGGTTGGATCCTACCAACTTTTCTGCTGGTACAATAAGGAGGAAGAGCAGTGTTACCTGATTTCCCTCATCACTGTAGTCTTGTCCTGTATAATTTTTTGTCCTCATGATTCCCAGAATAGCCTTTTTGAGGGGTCAAAAGAGGCCTCTCCTCCTTCTTGTTCCAGTAGAAAAATCCAGTGTGTATTTGACAGAACAAGGTGACTGGAGCTATAATTTAGGATATATAAGTTAAGATCTTACTTGATGTATTCTATAGGAAGCTAAATGTGATATAAGTGATATTTTTTCATAACCATCTTATTACTTAGTTTGCCTTGGACAAACTTTGAGTCCAGTGGGACCTTTAAGACCAACAAAGTTTTCTTCTGGGTATAAGCTTTTGTGTGCATGCAGACTTCTTCAGAAGTAGCTTGCCTTGGTGTGTCTCTCAGTATTTAGATGTGTGCTTTGGCTCTAGTTACTTATATTCAAGCACCAATTAAATTAAGTTTTAGAATCGCTGGATAAGGTGACCTCCCAGTTGCCCCTTTTTTCACTGTTATGTATTGATGCACATGCACACACCATGAAAACAGCTCCTTCAAACTTCCATTGGCACTGGCATGGCTGAAGGGAGCACTTCTCCAACAAGAACTGGAAAGTCATCCAGTGACTCCATTAACATCCACTAGAGTAAAGGCAGGTAGTGATGTCTAAATCTGCTGTTGCACAGCAGCAAGTCAGGGATGATGGCAATGGGTGCCCAGTCTCTTGGCAGTTACCTGGCACCCAGGCCTTGTCAATTGGACTTCTGGGTACAACTGAGCAACATTTCATCCTATTTTTTTACACTTTTTGGATATAATTTTGTGTGTTCCCTCATTTAGAAACAACCTTCACAGATGCTATGTTTATTTTTTTAAAGGAAAGTGAGAATATCATTGCTAATAAGATTCTGCAGGATATGGAGTTCTGTGGGAAATATAGAACATGGTCCAGGCTAACCAGGTCAACCCTGGTTAGTGTTTGGATGGGAGACCACCATGGAAACCCAGGGTTGCTACGCAGAGGCAGGCAATGGTAAACCACCTCTGAATGTCTCTTGCTTTGAAAAACCTATGGTGTTGCCATAAATCACCTGCGACGTGATGGCGCTTTCTACCATCACCTCATATTGCACAGTTACAATCTGCAGTCAGTTTTATTTGTTCCTTTGCACAGATGGGAAATTGGTGGTTTTCAGGTTCTTTTGGTAGGGATAGCTATAGATGTCTTCTAACAACAGAAGGTTTTTTTGTTCTAGTAAAAGCATTTCATTATCAAGAATTGTTTCCATTAATTGCTCAGTATGTGTTGTTGTTCCATGAAAGATCTGACCTACCCATAACAATATTCCTGAAATTCAATAAATCACTCTTGGAAAATTCTTTTGGAAATACATTTTAGTGTTAAGTGGCATGGTAAGGTAAAGGTAAAGGGTTCCCTTGCTCAAAAGCTAGTTGAATCCGACGCTAGGGGGTGGTGCTCATCTTTGTTTCCAAGCCAAAGAGCCAGTGCTGTCCAAAGATGTTTCCGTGGTCATGTGGCTGGCATGACTAAACACTGAGGAGCACAGAATGCCACAAATAAATCCAATTTTACAAAAATGCAAATATTTTGATTTACAATATTATTCTAATGTTAAGACATGTTCTTAATTACTGCTACTATTGTCTGTCCTCAAATGGTAATTTATCCTTCAGGCCATTTTACATTTTTATAGTGGTGTTAGGTGGGATTTGTGCAAAAATAATTATAGGATTTACATTCAGCAGCTTCTTAAAAGACTCCAAGTCATTGTTTTAGAACATTATAATATGAAAGTATTATAGTATTACTGTGATAATTTAGGAACTGTTCATTAGTTATATTCTGGAGGCAGAGGAGCTCTTAGTTGCATTCCCTTATATATTATTTTTTTCTCTCTTTCTTTCTAGGCCCAACGCTGGCACCAGGGAAATGAGCATTTTGGTCGTTCTTGGCTGGCAGGGGACATTGTTGGTTGTATGGTTGACATGAATGAGCATACAGTGATGTTCACCTTAAATGGTGAAATCCTTCTTGATGACTCTGGTTCAGAGCTTGCGTTCAAGGACTTTGAGGTTGGTGATGGTAAGTTCTTCAACAATTCTGTGCTGCTGATTTGTGTGTTCCTTTTTGTTGTAGGAAGAAGTCCTTTAATATCCCCATCACTTTTGCTGGGACTGAATGAATTGCTTTGATGCATTTTTAAATTTTATGAACATAACTGTGTTTATCAGTATAAAATACACTGAAATCCCTTGGTAACAAATTTGCTTTCTATATTGTTGTCGATTTCAAGCATATCTGATGATTACTGGAACGGTGTTTTATCAGACTGTTGGCAAAGCTGCTGTAATATTTTGTTTGTAAACATTTAAATTGCCAATGAAGAAGGTTGACTTGTAGAATGTTGATGGAATATATTGTTCCTATGAAAGAAGCAGGAGTCAGATTAGCTGAGAAAAAATTGGGGAAAAGAAGACTGAGGTTGGATGTTTGGTGAGAAGCGATCTGGATCTGTACTAAAAGCAGCTACACTTTTAAAGGGACAGTACGTGGATCATAGAGATATATGGAGATTTTAAGTTTAGTTTTTTGTGGCTGGACTGGCAAGCTAATCGAAAACCGTTTCTCTGGAGTAAAGGGTTCGCTACCCTAACTTTATATGATCTGCTTGCTAAGAGAAAGGTTAGAATCTCCAATGAGCGTGTTGTAATTGCAACAAAAGGAAAGACTCTTTTGATCTAAGGAAGCAAAGATATCCCAGGAAAAAAGGAACTTGGTTCAGATTATGAATGGACAGATCCGGACTTATAGAAACTAAAAGATAATTGAAGAAAGAAGTTACATTGAAGACGGAAGAAGAAAAACATGTTGTAATGTTTTTACTGAGGGAACATTGGTTTTAAAAGATGCCTAGGGGGTGGAGTAAAGCGTGGTGATGCTAAATTTTTCTTAAGGGCTGTAATTATTGTGTTATAGCTTTGGAACTACTCTCTGTTCAGTCAAATAAACAGGTTTTGTCAACAGAAGCGATGATTGGCGGGCACTCTTCATGTTTGAAAGCAAATGTATAAGGGTAATAACTATGTTTTAAGCATTGTATAACCTCCATTCTTGGGTTTTTAGTTAGATTTTCTTTACTTTTTCCTATAGAGTGTAGAATTTCCCTCCCCAATTTCTGTTGTAGTTTTATAGAAATGCAAATAAAAAAGTCCCCCTTGGGGGGGGGCTTAAAAAAAAAGAACAGGATGTTTGCAGTCATTAAGACCCAACTGCCAGAGGATAGGCTTGTCAAGTCCGCCTGGGGGGCGGGGGAACCCCTGCCCCAGAGGCCCGTTCCCCGCCACCGGCAGATCGGGCCCCGGGGGAACCCCACCACCAAAGCACGCGACGTGCATGTCACCCGGAAGTGACATGACCACTCTATGGTTTTCCCTCGGATGGTCATGGCCCCGCCCCCAGCGTGCCCGGCGTGGTCGCGTCACTTCTGGGTGACGTGATTACGGCACATGTGCGCCGGAGTGGCGCCGGAGTCCCCCATTCCAGTGCCGCTCGGACTTGGGAACCCTACCAGAGGATGAGGAATTAGCTGGGAGTTAGCTTCTGATTTCTGCTGGGGAAATTTTGCAAATTACTTAGGGTGGGTAGAAATCAGGAGCTCACTCTCAGCTGATTACAGGGATCAGCTGAAAAGTCTGGTTCTTCTGATCCCCTAACCTGGAAACTTGGCTTGTATCCCCATCTAACTAAGATGCAACAGGATGGGTGGTGGTGGTGGTCAGAAGCATAGATAATTCCCCCTTTCTTCTCCCCATTTTAAATTGTGTGCTGGGGGGGGCAGAGAAAGAGAACAAATTGCTCCTGTTCTCTGCAGCTGATACTGTAGGATTGGAGCGGGGAGGAAAGAAGCAATTATTATTTTCTGTCAAACTAAAACTGACAGTTTGGCTGAGGAAAACTGGAGTGACCTGTTCCTGTCCTTACAGCCCAAGCTGATACTTGGGGGGAGGGGTGGGGAAAGAAGCAATCTATTCCTCCCCCAAGCTGAAAGTTTAGGCTGAGAATAGTACAAGTTCCCCTTCCCCAAAATTGACAACTTGGATTGAAGGAGGACAGAAGTGATCTATTTTTGTTCTCTGCAGACCAAGTTCTTCTTTTGGGGTGGGAGAAGCAGATTGCTACTCCAGTGTTCCCTCTAAACTGAGATAGTGTGAGCTAGCTCAAAGTTTTTAGCCTCCGGCTCACACATTTTTGTCTTAGCTCAGGAAGGATGGCTCCAGAGCAAACTAGTTTATACAGTAGCCAAGTCACTTGCTCACAACTTTAATGCCAGTAGCTCATAAAGTAGAATTTTTGCTCACAAGACTCCACAGCTTAGAGGGACCATTGCTCACCCCAAGTTCTCAGTTGGAGGGGGGAGCAAATTACTCTCAGCAAACAATTCAGAACACATGTCAGATTTCAGTATGGGATCTTCCTATTAGAATCATCAAGAAATAATTTTATTCTTTCAAATGGCTTTGTGTAGCAGAAATCTTTGTTTTTGTTAATGCCCACTGAATAAAGTATGTCCCCATATATTGAGTAGTACCTTGTACTACAATTGAAATTTAAGTCACATAAACTGAAAACAGTTGAGTATGCCCATGTACTACTGACTAACTGTTGATGGTCTACATATTCTAGGAAGTGTGTGTATGTGGGGGGGAATTCTGGGACATATCATGTTTCCAGCCTAGCCATATCTTTTTGTAAAGAAATATTGTTGTAGCTCTGCAGGGACTTTGAAAGACTGTCTATTTAATCTATACCCTACCTCTATTTACGTCATTAGCTGTGATTTTCTGACCTTTGATGCAGCTAGTATTCAGATAATTCTTAACAAAAATTTGTATTGTTTTGTTTTCTTTGTTGAGAAGTATGACATGCATAAGTACAAGAGGACTGTATTCGTATTATTTCCGATATTGTCTAATCCACATGTAATTATGACTGTGTGAGCATTGTCCATATTAAATTGTATGGGTTATAATTTATGAACTGGAAAAAATTAAATGAAATGACACCTGTTAATATTTATAATCCATAAATTGGATCTGTCTTAATTTTTATTTATTTATTTTTGGCAGGCTTTATACCTGCATGCAGCCTGGGCTTGTCACAAGTTGGCAGAATGAATTTTGGCAAAGATGTCAGCACTCTGAAATATTTCACTATTTGTGGATTACAAGAAGGCTATGAACCCTTTGCAGTCAATACTAACAGGGACATCACCATATGGCTGAGCAAGAGACTACCTCAGTTTCTTCCAGTACCACCAAATCATGAACATATTGAGGTTTGATGTATCTTCTTTTAATTGTGTGGCATTGAGTAGAAAGGTGACTTATCTGTCCAAATCACTGGTTTCCATCTGATTGAGTACAAGAACCATCTCTGTGTAGCTACAATCCCTATGTAGTATTCAGCATTATGCGCAAACAGCAAACCTGTCTGTGCTGTCTTCCAGCTGGGGAGCTGGGGATAAATGCAGATGCCCCCTCACTACTCCATACATTATGTTGTAAAGTGACTTTTCATAATAGTTGTGGTCATTTAGATCATGGCCAGTTAGCATGACATACTGTTTCATTTTCAATGCTTGCTTCAAATGGGGTCCAACCGATTCTATTGCCTCAATAGAACCCTAAAACTAAAAATAGTGGGTGGGTGGTTGAATTATGAACAGTCATCATTTGTTGTGAAAGTATATTGTGGAGAATGAAGTGGCACTGGTTAACAGGAAAAGTTTTATATATCTGGATATATGGCCCTCAAAGTGTAGGGGCTTACAATAATGAGATTTAATCCTCTTGATATTTTTTGTTCATAACTCCAGAAGATTTTCAGTTAAAAGCAGGTGTCATTTTGTAGAAAAAGAGCTGCAGGAGCTCATTAGTATATCTAATAAGTTATTAGCAAAATAGCTCATTAGCATATGTCAGAAGGGAAAGCAAAAAGGGGGGGAGGCATCTTCAAAAGCCTCCCCTTCCCTTCCCCAGCCGGCCTGCCAAGGCGGGCTTGGGGGGGGGAAGCGAAGAGAGAAAGGGTTTAAACTTTAAACCCCTTCTCTCTGGAGTTGCACCGCAGTGGCAGCCCGCTCTTTCCATTACATTCTGTGGGGCCATAGAATATAATGGAAAGAACATGTCGCCCCTTCTCTCTGGAGTGGTGCCGCAGTGGCAGCACAATCTTTCCATTGTATTATATGGGGCCATAGAATACAATGGAAAGATCATGCCACTGCTGTGGCGTGACTCTAGAGAAAAGGAGCGCGGGGGCGGGGCTTGCCGCCACCACCATTTGTGTCCGCTCCTGGGATGCCGGAGCGGCGCTCTGGTATGCTCCAGCCCCAAATGACCCATGGTCTAAAGAAAAAGTTTTTTAAAAGTGTTAAAAAATGGAGAACTTACTAAAAAGTGTAATTTCATTTCACATTCTTGTTTTTTATTTAATAGGTTACAAGAATAGATGGCACAGCAGACAGCTCTCCATGCTTGAAGGTCACACAGAAGTCATTTGGGTCTCAAAATAGTAAAACAGACATCATGTTCTATCGTCTCAGCATGCCTATTGAATGCGCCGAGATATTCTCTAAAATGTCTGGAGGAGGGCTGCCAAGTTCTAGTCTTTTTGGCCCAAAGAATGACCTGGATGAGTTTGATGCTGATTCCGACTTTGAAGTCCTGATGAAAACTGCTCATGGTCATCTGGTACCTGATCGTGCAGAAAAAGAAGCTATAAAATCAGAGTTTAATAACCACAAAGACTATACACAAGAAAAACCTTCACGTCTCAAGCAAAGGTCAACTGTTCTGGTCTTTTAAATTTTTTTTAACCATGATGTGTATTCGTTCACTTATACTGTAAATCAACAATTACATATAAATCAACAATTACAGCTGGGACTAGGGTTGCCAAATGGGCCCGGGGGGGCGGGGAATCCCCAGCTTCGGAGGCCCGATTTCCGCCGTGGCGGAATCGGGCCCTGGGGGGAACCCCGCTCCCGAAGCTGTGTACACAGGGGTCATTTCGTAGAAAAAGAGGTGCAGGAGCTCATTAGCATAACTCATTAGCATAACATATTTGCATATGACAAACCCCCTGACATCACTGGAAGTGTGTCCAAAGGCAACACCCACCGCTCAGGAACCACTGGACTGTTTTGGATTGCTAGCTATTGGGGGGGGGGAACATGCAGATCAGTCCTCACAGAGGAGGGAGAGCTTGTACCTGAATAAAACTTGGTCTTAAAGGTGCCACTGGACTGTTTTGGACTGGGGGGCTGAGGGGAACTCTGCAACTTACCTGGCTGCTTCTTGCTCTGACTGAGGGCTGCTGGGAGCAGAGGGTGGGGCTTGTTGCATGTGCCCACCCCCTGGGCGCTTTACTGCCAGAGCTCCGCTCCTGTGCCCTCCTGCAGGAAATGACCTCTGCTCTTACACAACCACTAAACATATTTTGTCAAGCCATGATTAAAGCCTATCTTGCATGTTTCTGAGATAATTAGGAATTTTCACACATATTATTATTGTTTTTTTCATATTTTATTACGGTTCAAACTTAATGTTTTATTCCCACATTTTATTTCCACATTTTTTCGTACGTTGCCTGACCAATCAACCTGTGCCACCTCAAATGCTGCCTTGCTCTCATCCCACTACCCCTTGCTGCACTGATCACAGCAGGGAACCCTACTTATGTGAACAGCTAATTTAAATAGTTACAAGATGGCCCCTCCCTCTGTGTGAAATGTGTAGAATAGTAATACCAATAACACATTCCATGTGCTTGGAGTTCAAGCTTCACCTGCCTTATAGCTCTTCTAAGCCATGATGCTCAAATGATATTATATGTAGTAGTGTGGGACTGTGAACTCCCCCAAACATGTATCTCAGGATAATCTGAGCCATGTGGTGATTTATCAGCACATAGTTCAGTTTGTCGGTCTGATTCAGAAGGGGTATGTGCGTGACTAATCTGTTACTGCTAAATGTTTTTCTTCAGATAGGCACTTTCAGATAAGAGAAATTCTTATTTATAGTTTTGTATTCTATAATTTATCCAAAGAGCTCTGGGTGGTGTTTGTGATCTTCCCCCCACCATTTTATTTTTACAACAATCCTGTGAGGTAAGGTTGACTGAGGAGGAATGATGGGCCCAAGTTCATCCAAAGAGTTTCATGGTAGATGCTTTGAACTAGACTCTCTTCTGTCTAGTCTGACACTCTAATTATTACAGTACAATGTCTGTTAATATAAGACTGCAGTAACTAGAGACTTTATGAATACTGTGCCGGATAAATGGGAGCCTGGTTAATTATCTTTTGGTAACTTTTCAAGAAACTATATTTCACTTCCAGATCAATAATAAACAGCTTTTATCAACTGAAATTAATCTGCTTGTCCAACTGATACATTAGGAATTTTTTAAAATGCTGATTTATCCAAATTTCTGTATATTACAGATTTATGCTGAGAAGGACGAAACCTGACTACAGCACAAGCCATTCTGCAAGGCTCACCGAAGACGTCTTAGCAGATGAAAGAGATGACTATGATTATTTAATGCAAACATCTACAGTATGGCAACTCAGTGTTAATAGTTTCACTCTTTTCTTTATCCAAGAATTGCCAAATTTTCTTGATGTGCATTACATACAAAGTTTGAAATTATAATGGACATTTGTAGAGCACATTTCTTTTAATGATAAGTGAACTACAAGCTACTTATTTTGGAACTGCTGTTATCAAAGTACTTTTTAAAAAATAAAGTGATTTATAATTGCTTAGTTTATTACTAGGATGTTGTGTTAAAAAGTTAGATAGAACAAAAATTCATAGTACTCCATTTTTGTTCTGAAATTTAGATTTGCATATATACGGTATGTTGTTGTTTTTTTAAGTGCTGTTCAATTTTTGGCCCCAGATGGTGCCAGAAAAGGTAGCTGGTATTTTATGTTCTCTTGGGAGATAAAAGAAAAGTAAGAAAAGCTTTATGTAGATAGACTGCAGAATCAAAGGTAGAACTGTTCCTATTCTGGAGTTCACTTGATGGGGACCACAATGTAGTCAGTGGGCTGTTACTTGCCCATCTTTTGTAGGAAGTTTTAGTGGAACTATTTTTGTACTTTGTTTTTGCTGCTCCGTGGGGATTTGATCATGCAAAGCAACAGGGGTCAGGAGTGACCAGCAATAGTTGGAGGAGCTGGTAGTGTGTGTGTGTTTTAAGTGCTGTCAAGTTGCTTCTGACCTGTGGTGACCCTATTAATTAATATCCTCCAAAATGCCCTATTGTTAATAGCCTTGCTCAGGTCTTGCAAACGGAAGGTTGGGGCTTCCTTTATTGAGTCATCTCCTTTTGGGTCATCCTCTTTTCTTGGTACGTTCTCTTAGCATTATTGTCTTTTCCAGTGACTACTGTCTTCTCAGAATGCAACCAAAATATGATAACCTCAGTTTAGTCATTTTAGATTCTAGGGAGAGTTCATGCTTGATTTGATCTAGACCCCACTTATTTGCCTTTTTGGCGATCCATGGTATTAATAAAATTGTCCTCCAACACCACATTTCAAAGGAACCTTTCTTCCTGTTAGCTTTCTTCATTGTCCAACTTTCACACTCATACATGGTGATGGGGAATACTGTGGCATGAATTAACTTGATCTTGGTTGCAAGTGACAAGTCCGTACCCTTAAGGATCTTTTCTACCTCCTTCATGGCTGCCCTTCCGAGTCGCAATCTCTGATTTCTTGGTTGCAGACAGTCTCCCTTTTGGTTGATGATGGAGCCAAGGAATAGAAAATCTTCAACAATTTCAGTTTCTTCATAGAAGTCAGCCTTTAAGTCATGTAATTCCTCAATAGTCATTAGTTTTGTCTTCTTGACTTTCAGCTGTAATCCCGCTTTGGCAGTTTCTGCTTTAACCTTCAATGGTAGTTGTTTCAGGTCTTCACTGTTTTCTGTGAGTCATGTGCATGTCTCAGATTGTTAATGTTCCTTCCACTGATTTTCACTCCACCTTCATTGAAATCTAATCCAGCTTTCCCTATAATATGTTTTGCATACAGACTGAAAAGATAGGGAGGTAAAATGCATCCTTGTCTGACACCTTTGTCAATTGGAAACCATTCTGTTTCTCCATATTCTGTCCTAACAGTGGCCTCTTGTCCAGAGTATGATCTTATTCATGGCCCATATCTCAAATTCCTTAAATTTTTAAATGTTGTCTGCATTCTTTTTTGTCAAGTGAAATGCTGATTCAGCTTTCCCCTCTGTTGTTTTCAACTCATCTAATTTCTTATTTATAGGCTCAATTGTTTGTTTGAGCATCCCAAATTCATTTTTTTTAACTGTCCGACCTCTCCACTCAGAGTCTTTAAACCAGTCTTGATTTCGTTCCTTATCTCTGTTAAGGCATGCAATAACACAGTCTATTCTCTTTGGTCAGGGTTACTCCCCCCTGCCACCATTTCCTCTAACAGAGACGCCTCTAGATCTGAATCATCTGAGTGTTCAAGGTCAATATTACTCTTTTTGGGAGGTCTATAAGGAGGTTTTTTAGTACCTTTCTTTGCTCTGGTCCTTCCCATAGCTGGCATTGGTATTTGTTCCAAACTTGGCTGTATTTTCTGGAAGCAGAGCTCTTATTTTTCCATGGGAATAGCAGGAGTTGGAAGGGATGCAGCCAGCCAGAAGCTCAGCCACCATGCCCCTCCCCCAATCTTGTTAAGATTTTGATGGATTCCATTTGTTTTGCTTGGAATCAGGCGTGTAGCCATGGTGGGCACTTAGGGGCACGTGCCTCATCACTCATGGCCCAAGCCCCATAATTCCCAACTGCTTCCAGCTGTGCTCTTACCTGCCGGCCTGGCAATGGGCATGGGGGTGGATGCTGTGCAGTTGAAATGGGGCTGGAGTGCTTGTTAGCTGCCTCACTGAGTATTAATTGCACCAGCCCTGGCCAGAATGCGTCAAGGCGCTTTGCAGCAGTAGCGGTGGTGGCAGCAGCAACCAGGTGCTCACCTCCTGTGCTACCTCCTGTGCCCCCCTGTTTCTCTGTCCCCCCTCCTAATCACCTGCTGACTTTACAAACCTGCCTGTGAGCTGCTGAAAGAGGGAGGTTGCTTATTCTTCAGCCCATGAGTCATGGAGAGACAGAAAGTCTTCCACCGCTGTTTTCCTTGTCTTGTGCTTGCCTGCTGTTCAGCCCTCCCCACCCCAAAGCCACCAGCCAAGCCTAGGTTGTGATGAGCCATGCTGTACTGGTGACTAGGGAGTCCCCTCTTACCTGCCATGGTGGGCCTGGTGTTGCACCGAGCCCTGGCAGGAATGTGTCAAGGTGCTTAGCAGTAGTAGCAGTGGTGGCAGCAGCAACCAGGCACCCATTAGTTGCTTTAAAAAAAAACCTTGCTGGTTGAGCATTTTGTTTTGGAAGGATGATGAGCAAGTGCCCCACAGGATTTCCCAATGCCTCACCAACCAAAATTTTCTGGCTATGCCCATGCTTGGAATAGCTCTATTGATATCCCATCTGCTCCTGGTGATTTGTTTCTTCCAATTGCTCTTAGTGAAGCTTTCACTTCACTTTCTAAAACTGTAGTCTGACACTAATTACTATGCCACAATGACTGTCATAGAGTACATGGAGTTATTTTACATCATATCTTCACTGAAGGACTGCAGAATTAACCAATTTACAAGCATAAATGCAAAAGAAGTGCCAGTATAGGAGCTGTTTAGTGGGAAAATGAAAGCACTAAAATAATTTTGATGAATCCTAGTTATAAATCTTCTATAGATTCTTGAGCAAGAGGCTAGCTCTGGATAAAAATGCAATACTAATATTATGTATTATTCTTAATCTCTTGACAGTACTATTATTCGGTACGTATCTTTCCGGGCCAAGAACCTGCTAATGTCTGGGTAGGCTGGATTACATCTGATTTCCATCAGTACGACACAAATTTTGATTTGGACAGAGTCCGCACTGTTACAGTAACTTTAGGAGATGAAAAAGGGAAAGTTCATGAGAGGTTGGCTTTACTTTTCTTTATATTAGAAACATGAAATATAATTTTTGAATCATGCCTGATCTTGTCATAAAAGACATGTAATATTTAGTAATATTTATACGTTCTTTTGTCTGAAATAAAAATCATACGCCATATACAGAATTAATTTTAATAGAGTTTCCCATTTTTTCTTTCTTTCATTACAAAGCTATGCTGTTGGGTTTTTTTACTTCAGTAAAGGCTCAGTCAGTGAAGATTTATGTTGTTCTATTCAGTCCAGTGTTAACTGAAATCTAAATATACATGTCAAGTTAAATTTCCCCAAACAGAACTGAGAGTCTATTTCTCAGAAGGTTACCTGTGTTAATCTGCTGCAGCTAAACCAAGTCTTGTGGCACCTTAAAGACTAACACATTCTTTTTGGTCTGTAACAAGTTGTTGTTAGTCTTTAAGGTGCCACAAGATGCCTGCTAATTTTTGCTGCGTTGGACTAACGTAGCTACTCTGGAATTATTTTCCTGGCAGGATTTCTGTGCCATTTAAAATGGCAGAAGTCCAACAGGGGAGTTTTTCTTATCACCAACTCCATTCTTGGAAAGGTGTGTCTGCTGAATTTTGCAAAAAGTAAATGGGGACCAAAGTGGCTTATAATATCGCTCTCCTCTCCTGCAGTTCTCTGCACAACTCCAAACAAGCAGTAAGGTAGGTTAGGCTGGGAGAGAGTAACTGGCTGAAGCCCACCCTCTGTGCTTCAATGGCAGAGCGCTAAACCAAGTCTTGTGGCACCTTAAAGACTAACACATTTATTGTGGCATGAGTCAGAGTTTTTTAATTGTTGTTTTAATGTTTTCTATGCATTTTAACTCTGGATTTAATTGTTTAAATGATGCATTTTTGTTGGATTTAATGGTTTTCAAGATGCGATTGACATATGTTTTAACTTCTTGGCTGCCTTGATGGCCATCATGACAGTGGAAAGGCAGGATATAATTGTGATAAAATAAATAACTACAGCCTGATTAAGGGGAATCTGGTTCCCAAAATCTCATGCGAAAACATGTTTAATAGTTTTAAAGTTGTCTTGAGACTCGCATTTCATAAATATATCTAAAAGTCTAGTCCTGGGGTGTTTTTTAAAAAAATCATACTCTGACTACAAAAGGGAGCTCTGAGCACTGCTATGCAGTGACCATTCCCAAACTTTTAATAGCAATGATCACCTAAGGGGAATGTATTATGCGTCTCTATATAGAGCACATAGAGACTCCTACTCCCATTCATTCCAGTACCAAAGTCTGCCTCTGTGTAATCCATATTTTGTAATGACAGGATGTAGTAGTTAGTGATGCTTACAAAACCCTCCTTGGCTGAATTTATCCTCAGATATTGAGCATATTACCTGAATTATTTGCTGGAATGGTATTTCCTGATTGCTTTCATTAAAAAGAAGTTAAAATGATTTTTTTTTAAATAAATCTGTCTGGAGTGGTAGTTTTTATCTATTTATTTATGAAAGATAAAAATAAAACAAAATCCATCAAAACTATACACTTGTTTTCGGAAAACACTTGTGTTTTTAAATTTGCTTTTATGGTTGTTGTATAACTATGAATATTCTCTTGTGAATCAGAAAAAAACCCAACGAAGTAAACCCTTTCAATACTAATAACTTTGTGTGCTAAAACCCTTTGGTGCTTTTTTTACGGATAGAGTTTTGTTATGCTCTAAACTTTAAAAAACCCCAAATAATTATCTTGTTTTTCCACTGCTCATTTATTCATTTACTATGTATACCATGCCTTTCACAATATCAAATAGTGGCTCAAGATGGCTTACAAATGGGGACGTAAATCGCATAATACAAACACATTGAAACAGTATTAAATCAATAAAAAAATAAAATGGCCCTTGAGACTCAGTGGCACAAACATAATTTTGATTCAATTTACTTGCCTCCAAAAGGCTTTTTACACTGCCCCTGGAACTTTGCCAAAGTAGGAATCCTCCTGATTGCCCCAGGAAGACAGTTCCAAAGAACTGGCACTACAACCAAGAAGGACTACACTTAAGCCATGTATGACCACATTTTAAAAAGAAAATACACTTCCAGATTTTTAAAGATAGATAGATGATAGAAGATAGATAGATAGATAGATAGATAGCACTTCTATGCAATATAAAAACAAAATAATATCCTTCAAAAGTAATTTCTGGATGTGTGAGAATTGGACGTACTAGACCACTTGTACATGGGGTCATAGTACTTTCTAGTAGTATCCTAATAGTATTTTTACAATGCTGGGAAAAATATGAAGTGCTAGGATAAAAGGCAGCCCAATCTAGCTATATCCAGGCTATATAATCCCTACAGTGCACATGGGAATGCAATAATAATATGAACATTCTCATGACAATAAACTCCACAAACAACTGAAAATATTGTTTCAAATAAATTCCTGCAGTTCTAGACATACGTGTAAATTTTACTAAATTTTATAGGTTTGCACAATGGCTCTGTCCCTAAATTCAAAATATCATTACACTATCCATGTTCAGTGCATATACATATAAAAGCAATGTTGGATTTACTTGGCATTCCTTATAATGGGCCATTATTCAAATTGGCAGACAGTTGTTTGTATGCAGACAGTTGTCAGTGGAAGGTACATGGATTTTTTCCAGTGTGTCTCCTCCCCACCCCCATCTGCTGCAGTCCCTTTCAGCCTCTGGGAAGGTTTCTCTTAAGTTCCAGGAACCCACTTGCATCAGGAGGGTTGCAGTGAGGAGGGGAAGGGGGTGAAATTACCGGTCTTCATTAGCAGGAATGAAAGAGAGAGGAGGGATGATTTCATTCCCTTTCACTGGAACATCTCAACCCATGTGGATTTTCATCCATGTAGGTCCCACAACACTAGTCATAATGGTCCTGGTCATCAAAAGGAACTATAGTGAGTGGTAGAGGAACAGTGGGAAAAAAAATCAGAATTTTGCGGCTGGTTGTGCCATTGAATATTAAATTCAATTGAAATGAACAATTAAGCCATATTAGTTTTAGTTGTAGATGGATACATCCAAGTTCCTTTGTATTGTGTTTATTGTGATTGCACTGATGGGAAGGATGGGAGTTGCTGTGTTCACAGGGAAATCTGAACATCTAGCTACTCTGTCCTCTTCTATGAATATGGAAGTGTTATATGCATTAATGGGAATTTTCTTTTCCATATGCAAAGATTTAATTAACATGGAAAAGAATGAGGTAGCCAATGCACAGAACTAGAGCCCTTTAGATGTTTGGGTCATGGCTTCGCATTAAACTAGCATAATATCTCACATGTTATTGATCTTTTGCAATGCAGTATCAAACGAAGCAACTGCTATATGGTGTGTGCAGGAGAGAGCATGAGTCCAGGACAAGGACGCAATAACAATGGATTAGAGATTGGCTGTTTGGTTGATGCTGCGACTGGTCTCCTGTCCTTCATGGCTAATGGCAAAGAGTTAAGCACATATTATCAGGTAATTACTTTTAGCTTGTTATTTTCCCACAATCAGGCATCGAGATTGGTTTTGTTTTAGTTCATTTAACAATTCATAAAAACTTGGCAATTCACACATATTTTGTTAACTGTTCTTGTAGCCTGTACCTAGCATCTTGAATGGTATTTTTTTTGTTTGTTCATGATACAGGTTGAACCAAGCACTAAATTATTTCCTGCAGTATTTGCACAAGCTACAAGCCCCAATGTTTTCCAGTTTGAGCTTGGAAGAATAAAGGTATTTACTGTCTATTTCTATGATAAGCTGTTGCATTCAGAATGCTTCTAGCACTGAAGTAGTGCTTCACTGCTAGCACTGAAGTAGTGTTGTCTACTACTACATGAAAGCATGAGATTACTAGAGCTTTGTAGAGGAGATGAGCATTCTCTCAGGTTGCTTTTCAGCCATTAGATACCTTGGTGGTTGACATCTTGACTTTTCTGATGAAGAAAAAAGCAGACACGGGACCTTTAAAAGACATTTGTGTTCACATGGAATCTGTGTATATTGTCCTTCATACTTGTTGTCATCTTGTCTGGAGACCATGGGTACTACAAGCCTCTTGGTAACCTTTTCACCATTGTGGAGGGAAGGGGACCTTGCAAACTTGCTATAAGATCTACTAAAAACTAGTGTTGAATTTTGCCAGAGCTGGTTGTGCCTTGGCCAGAGATAAATGGTGGGAAGCAGAGATGCAGTTTCGACAAGAGTGTCTCATTGTACATGTTAATCTGCTATGTAAGCTTGATTATGGCATTATAAATATATATATCATTTCTTATTTTTATGTTCTGTTGTTGATTGGATTCTTAAATGTGACAGTCACATCTGACTTGTTCTCTCCAGAATGTAATGCCATTGTCAGCTGGGTTGTTCAAGAGTGAGCACAAAAACCCAGTCCCCCAGTGTCCTCCCCGTCTCCATGTTCAGTTTCTGACACATGTACTTTGGAGCAGAGTGCCAAACCACTTTCTGAAGGTGGATGTATCACGGATCAGCGAGCGTCAAGGCTGGTCAATACAGTGTCTGGAGCCCTTACAGTTCATGTCCCTCCATATCCCAGAGGAAAACAGGTATTGATTGCTGCATTTACACGACGAGGAGAACTAGGAGGGTGGTGGTGGTGGTGAAAAGTGCTGTCAAGTTGCAACCAGTTTTGGAGACTTCATAGGGTTTTCAAGGCAAGAGTTGAGCAGAGGTGGCTTGCCATTGCCTGCCTCTGCACAGCAACCATGGTATTCCTTGGTGGTCTCCCATCCAAGTACTAACCAGGTCCAACTCTGCTTAGCTTCAAGTCTCTGATGAGATCAGGCTACCCTGGGCCATCCAAGTCAGGAGGAAGGTGATATCAATAAAAATGTGTGGCAAATTGTATTCCTGGGGAAATATTTTTTTTCCTGTATTAAATATGCTTTGCAATTTTTTTTGGTATAGGAGGCTTAGTGAATTTATTCAGAATAAGAGACAGACATACACATTAGCCAGGCTACTGTGATGGGAAAATCCATGCCTATATATTTACATTTACCAGTCTTCTATCATGGAAGTCAAAACATGCCTTTCAACTATACTTTGGAACTTAGTGGAACTTTAGACATTTTTGCCCTATAGCATTATAGAAAATAATTTTTGAAACCTGGGGGTTTCCAAAGCAGCTTTGTATATGTCAAGAGTAACTGATGTTGGTAGGGAGAAAAAGAGCATCAGAAGAGCATGATCTAATGTATGGGCATGCATAAACATGTATTCCATTTATGTTACGTCCCATATCAGGTTACCAATATATCAATCTGCCAATAATCACATATCATACTTTTATTACTTTGTGTAGTTTTGTTTATATATCACATGAACTGTGGATATTGTGATATTCTGAGTGCAAGCTACTCCATTAATAGTGATCGGTTAGGCTCTATCAAGGCAGGATTTAAGGTTGGTTTATTAACTACAGTTAGTCTTGAATGGTGTCTGAATGCAGATATCCTGGTTTAATCTAATTTCTTCCCTGGTCATATCCCCACTCCAACTACAGGGAGGAGGCAATGAAGCCAGAATTTTTTGAGGCAAACCAGGATTTGAGTGATCATCTGTAAGATGAATCCTTTTTTTACAAACCAATGTCATGCTTTTGCATGATGTCTGAACAGAGTTAAAAATGTGAATCATTTCAAAGCAATTAAAGAATGATGATGATGATGATAATCATCATGTTCCTATCCATAATAGCTATTTTTAACTTCTCTATTCTCTCTTTTTTCTGTAGGTCAATAGATATTTTAGAATTGACAGAACAAGAAGAATTATTAAAATTTCACTACCATACACTCCGATTATACTCAGCAGTTTGTGCTCTTGGGAACAATCGAGTTGCACATGCAATGTGCAGTCATGTTGATGAGTCTCAACTTCTATATGCAATTGAGAACAAATATATGCCAGGCTTGTTGCGTGCAGGCTATTATGACCTCCTGATTGACATTCACCTTAATACCTATGCCACTGCAAGGCTGATGATGAACAATGAATTTATTGTTCCAATGACAGATGAGACAAAAAGCATTACTCTTTTTCCAGATGAAAATAAAAAGCATGGCCTCCCTGGAATTGGGCTCAGCACCTCCCTGCGACCCAGAATACAGTTTTCTTCTCCCAGTTTTGTAAGGATTAACAGTGAATGCTACCAATATAGTCCTGAATTTCCTCTGGAAATTTTGAAGGCTAAAACCATAGAGATGCTGACAGAGGCCGTTCAGGAAGGCAGTCTCCATGTCAGAGATCCTGTGGGTGGAACTACAGAATTTTTATTTGTTCCTTTAATCAAGCTTTTTTACACTCTACTTATCATGGGAGTATTCCACAATGGAGATCTGAAACATATATTGCAACTAATAGAACCTAGTGTTTTTAAGGAAGACACAAACCATGAGGATGAGATACAAGTACCAGAGAAGGGACTTGTTACAGAAGGGATAAATTTGGAAGGCGGACAGGAAGAAATCAAAGAGAAGGTGCCAAAGGAAGGACTTCTTCAAATGAAGCTTCCTGAGCCTGTGAAATTGCAGGTAAGAATGAGACAATAGACAAATGATAATGAATTTGGTACCTATTTTTCTTCATTATTCCATGTAAGACTTGTATTTCAAATAGTTATATAAATCTCAATGAGCTTATGCAGAGGACCTTAACTATTGTTGAGTGTTATGTTTGGACCAGTGTTAATCATAGTTAATCCCAGCCTTGGGTTACTTCTAATCCAGAATTTGAAGTAGTCCTGTTTGGTTTAGAAACAG